TTCATAAGGATGGTGATCGTGAGCCTGTAGAAAATTATAGAGGCATTTCGCTTCTATCCATCACTGGGAAAAGCCAGGAAAGAATTGTGTATAATGTTATTTACAATCAAGTTATCAGTTTTGTGCACGATTCCCATCACGGATTCCTCACTGGTCGTAGCTGCACTACTCAACTACTCTTGGTACATCATGATTGGTTCAAGGTTTTGGATAAGAGTGGCTAAGTCGATGTAGTGTTTATAGGCTTTTCAAAGGCCTTTGACCTTGTCTGTCATGACATTCTTTTAGCCAAGCTTTACAAATATGGTGTCCACAGGGACTTGCTCAACTGGTGTAGGCATTATTTGACAGAACGTCAGCAGCGTGTAGTGGTCAAAGGAGAGGCTCCCGATTGGTTAACGGTAACCTCTGGTGTCCCTCGGGTTTCTTTGTTGGGACCATTATTCTTCACAATATACAGCAATGATTTACCAGGGGTAATTAGTAAGAACAGCTCAATTGCATTATATGCTGATGATAGCAAAATGTATAGGGTTATTAATACTCAAGAAGATCTGTCCTCTTTTCAAAGTGCCATAGATAAAATATCAGATTGGTGTGAGATGAACAAGATGACAATTGATACTAAGAAATGTAAGATCATGCGGATAACAAGGAAAAAGGCACCCTTAGTTGGGGAGTATAACATTGAGGGTCAACCTTTGGAATGTTTTAATGTTTATAAAGATTTAGGATTGTTTACTGCTGGTGGTCTCTCATTGAACCAGCATATAGATAGAATAACTGCTAAGGCCAATAGGGTTTTAGGGTTGGTAAAAAGGACTTGTAGGGGCTTAAATGATGTTGAAACCATGACAACACTTTATTGTAGTCTTGTGAGATCCTTATTGGAACATTCATGTGAAACTTGGAACCCCTATAGTAAACGTAACATTGACAAATTGGAGGCTGTTCAGCGAAGAGCTACCAGATGGATCACCAAGTCTGATGATGATTATGGTACTAGACTATCTAAATTGAAATTGTTGCTATTATCTGATAGGAGGTTCATTAGGGATGTTACGTTTTGTTCAATGTAATTAATGGCCATTATGACATAGACATTTGCAATAACCTCATATTTTGTAAGGACAGAAGCATGGCTTATAATTTGAGGGAAAATGACACATGGGACCTTGCACCAAATTTTAGCAGAACTAACCGTCTCAAAAATAGTTTTTTTAACCGTATCGTTGGTGAATGGAATAGCTTACCTAATCACATTAGAGAATCAGATAGTATTGAAACTTTTAAAGAGAATGTTTTAAGTTTTATTAAGGATAAGGATAATTAGGGCATCTATTTTTATATTTCTATATAGTTTTGCTATAAATTTTTTTTAATTAGAGGGGGTATCCCTCGTATGGTGCGTCAGCGCTTTTGGTTGTCTCCTTCTCCACAATTTTTCCTTTTATAGCTTTCATTAACCTTAATTGTAATTAATACTAATTGTTTGTGTATTCTTGTGGAGTGAATTTGTAATAAATAAATAAATAATAATAATAATAACTGTCCGCTTACATTTCGGTCTTTGTTGCCGCTGCTGCTGCTATTGTTGCTGATGATGTGTTGTTCTTTTCCTCTCCTTTGTTGTTGCTGTTGTTTGTTTGTTTGTATGTGTGTCTGTTTTTCTCTTATTTACCTTGTCCTGTATAGATTTCTTGCTGGTCCAGTATATCTCTAACATACCTTAAATTATATACTTGTAATTCTCTCTTGCACATCAATCCTAGCTCAGTGCCATTTCTTTGTTTATCTAAAAGTAGGTGGTGGCCAACTAGAAAGCCTTCGCTACTTTGACCACCACACACATTTTATAATCTGTACTTTATTTTTATATTATTTTGTAATCATTTTTTGCAATTATACTTTCCTATCTATGTTAATTTTATGCAAATAGTGAGAAATAAATGAACCTTGAACCTTGCACAGTACTGTTCATGTGGTGTGAAAAGTCGTTCCCAGGATATGCTTAAACCACTAATTGCTAAAGGTATCAAGTTTCCTCTACCTTTACCTTCATCTGTTTCGATGAAGATTGAGTTTTTAATCAAGATTGAGCCGCTGTTGGAAAAAGTTGTTCCGAGACACATACTCGACTTGCATTGCCGGGACTTCCAATTCGACGTGGTAAACTTCTCCATGCCTTGTTTCACAAACGCTACCAAAGGACCCCCTGGGAATTACTCCTCAGTCTACCTGAGTACAGCAACAATACGAACAAAAGTGAGTTAGAAATGCTAAACGCCACCCAATGAGATGGATTGTTCTAAAGTTCTGCCCATAAAAAGTTTTAACCCAAAAATGATTGAGGTGTCTTTCTAATTAGTCCTACTCTGGAATCTTAAGTTGCCATAAGTCGCCTTTAGTTGCCTTAAGTTTCCTTAAGTCACTATTGATTACACATTGGCTTCCATATACATAGAAACTCTATGTGAAAATAGTTATGCACCTGTCTAGCCTATTTGCTGGCACGGGTAATTCCTACATGTAAACAATACTGAGTAGGAATATGATAATGTATACTCTTCCATTTTCTTCCTAAAACAGCTATCTGTTTCAACAAAATTTCTGTCTTGTATTTCATGATGAAAAGGTTGATAAAAGGGTTGACACTTTGTAATATCATCAGGATATTATAAATATTGAATCACATAAAACCTACAGTACCAGATCATCAAGATAAAACGATAGAAAGGTGTTCTGGAGAAAAAGCTCAATTCTTGCCAATCACTTATACCTTGAGCAGTATAAATAACATTATTAAAGGTCAACTAAACTTAACTGAAGCTAAATTAAATTTTATGCACTTAACTTACCCAGAGTAAAAGAATGACAAAAGTGAGCCATTTCTCCAGCATAAACCCATTAATCTGTACTAGCTACTTCCCACGTTATTCGACCAAATGAAAACATTTGAACTTTCTAGCTCGACAAACCTACTAAAGGTGTAAATATTTATCTATCTTGAGACTTTGATAGTCTTTTTGTACATTTTATATTCGTCAGTTTGACGATAAACATACATTAACCACTTTTTAAGCCAAGAAAAGCCTTTTACGGCAAACATGGCCGCCAGAAATATTTGATCACGTGACTTAAGTTTTGTCGGGGGACCAAAGTGCACGTGGGAACAACACGCACGCGAGCTTGCTGAAAAGTGTACAGAGAAATAGTTAATTTATCTGTGCAAAAAAAAAATCATCAAAAAGCTTTCAAAAAAATTAACTCTGAAAGTTTAACTGGGCGACCGCTTTAATAAAATGGACGTACTTGGTGATAGTGTTGCCCCACTCCTAACTTCGAAGCATGGAAACTAGTTAGCGGCGCAAAGATTTCTGGGAGAGTTAAAATGGCGGAGACTTTAGAGCCAGCTTCCAGCTTGGAGAAGCTCGTCGTGACTCGTTAGTTTCTGGACAGTTGTCAGGTAACGATGAATGATTTTAAACCTGTAATACTGCAACCAGGCTAGAATTAAAACTTGAATGCTTGGAAGGTCCTGCTGATCCGATCAACAGTGGAGAAAGACCTTAGCATATCGTTTTCACTATGGTATATTGGAGTGTTTTGTCTAACTGAAGCAGGAGAACAACAAATTGGTTGGTCCCTGAAAAGGACCGACCAGTTTTCGATGCTGTTGGAAAGGCATGCGAATTGCCAAACTTTCATACCAAAATTGACCGTGCAAGTGGCAAAAATATGGGAGACAAGTTTACCAAGAAAACAATCTTTTATAATTTCTGAGGCTTTGTGAAATAATTAAATAACCAAGCTATTTTTAATTAATTATGTGGAAAATTAAATGATAGTTTTTTATGTAAATCATGTCTCTTTCCTTAAATTAAAAATGTGTGTCTTTATGTGTATATTTTTGATAGCTTTGTTTTTTGTTGGGCAGATATATAACCCATGATGTTTTCCTGGCTATTTATTCACTAGCTTTGGCTGTGTAATTTAACAATAACTGTAGTTGTGGTAATTCTGCCTAAAAATTTTAAGCTCAATTGGTTTCCTGGCTATTTGTTCACTAGCTTTTACTGTATAATTTAACAATAGCTGTTGTGGTAATTCTGTCTAAATAAATTTTAGCTAAATTGGTTTGAAATCTGGATATTTTAGTCTATGGTGCCTTAAGTTGCCCTAATTTGCCTTAAGTCGCCTTAAGTCGTCTTAACCCGCCTTAAGTCGGCCAAAGTCGCCCAAAGTTACGGCGACTTAAGGCCCCAGAGTAGGCCTTTAATTAATAGTTTTAACGATATCAGTTTCTTGACTCCTCTCGGATATGGGATTCAGTAGTATTATAAATTGTGTTTTGGTAAAGTGTCAAACTCAGCAACGTCTTTCTCGTGATATTTCGTAATTTGAAGCAGAACTAAACCAGGACGAGAGAGCAAGAAAATAAAAATACATATTGTGTCTCGCAAAATCATTATAGGCCTTACCTTCGGATAGAGAGGTTCATGAAACAGATTCCAAGAATATATCGTAAAAAACATGAAAAAGCTGTACCACTCTTCTTTATTAAGTCACGGTTTATTCACTTGATTTTACGATTCTTTTACAATGCTTCGGCTAACTCCCACTCATGGGTCCTCGCTTATTCGAATAAAAAAGGACACTAAAATCGTTGCATTACAGGCACGTGGAACAAGGCCATATATGGGAGAAAACAAAAGCCGCATACATGTTGTTTGGTTAGGTAATAGATGAAAAAAATCCCTTATAATGTCAATCAAATTAAGACTAATTAACGTGTCGTACAGTTTCTAACATACGTTTCCAACGGTGTTGGTAACTTGTATGAGGTTCATTATCCAATTACCTCTCGTGACCATAATTTTAACTGTCGTATGAAACAGCAACTAGCGAGTTTCGTTCATCAATGAATACAGAAAAGACCAACGCAAAATCTAGAAATATTGTTATCAAGCTGCTTACTCTTTTATTTACATTCCCCTCCTTCATTGTATCTCTAAATGCTCCACCTGGGATCCTCCTCCAAGAATGACCTTTCTCATTTCTTTTTGTCTCCAGCAGTAAATCAGTGGATTCACGAGCGAGTTTAGCATGGCACATGTTAGCATCGATGGCACATTAATGGGGCAAGCATCATAAAGGCCTGTAACTGAAACAATCAGACAGAAACAAGCTGGAAGAAGGCAAACGATAACAGCACCAACTACATATACAGCTGTCTTAAGCGCCTTGTTCTCTTTGGTAAATCTTTCCACTTCTTCTTGGGGCAGTTGTTGAGTTTTTATTTTGTGTTGATGACGACGTGTTTCACGATACATGACGAAGTAAGAGAAAGCAAGAAAGAGAACGCATGAAATAATGAGAAAACCTATAATAAAACGTACTACAATGATCTTTTCCATAATTCTTAAAACCCCAATAATGAGCGAAATGATCCAAACTGCGAACACTGCTATCTTCATGTTCTCATAGGTCACAATGTTTGAGTGTTGCATCGAAAACTTGATGGCTACGAGTCTCTCCAAAGTAACTAACATCAGATGAAGGTATGAAGCTGTTACTATTGCAACTGTACACTTGAAAAAGTAATTTTCAAACGTTTCACTGTTACCAAGACCATACAAAAAGTGCACTCTCCACAGGATAAATAAAGGCTGGCAAATGAGACCTGTTAATGCGTCAGTCACCGCTAAACAGGCCAGCAAGATGTTGCTGCTGGTTCGGAGTCGACTCGTCGTTTTCACAGCCTTTATCACCAGTAAGTTGAGCAAAACTGTGAAGGGACATGTGATGGTGTTGATGATTATTATAATTATAGAACCAGCCACTGATGGGACATCTTCTGTGTCGCTTTCCCTATGGATCATGTTTGTAGCGTTTCTAAAACTAGTCATGGAGATATTTACCATGATGAATTGGAACCTGAATGCAAGTCAAGTCTGTCTCTCGGAAAACCCGTTTTAACGACTCGTTCAACCTAGCTTGAAAACTAGGGAAAATAGAGGCTGAGGAAGTCTGATGCCTTTAATAGTGAGAATCTTCAGGTAATGACAACTCATCCACACGTGCACAATAACAAATAAAGAACAAAGGCGAATCGGAAATGCTTAAAGCCCTCCAATCAGACGGAATTCCCTTAAGCTTTGCCCATTGTGGTCACTTTTTAATTACATTTTCCAGACAGCTACAAATGTGTATTTTTCCGCTTGATTGAGGTTGTTGCGACAACTAGAAATAGCTTTATCGCCCGTTTACTTCTCATGTTATAACCATAGGTTAACTTTTGCCAGATAAATATTTCGTGCATGTTAAGCTCACTACTTTTCCTCCGTCAAATAACAAAACATGAAAAGAAAAATATGGATTATTCGTTTGACATCTATCCTGCTTTGCCGGCACGGGTTCAAGACAAGTATTCACCCTTTGCACTTTTTCTGCCCATTGTCACCGTTCATGAGTTTAAAGTTCGCCGATTCAGGCTCGGCAACAAATGTTTTTTTTTTAAAAAAATATCCCTACATTGACGCATGTCTCATCTGAGGTGCCGAAGTTTTATCATTTTGCGTCACAGAAATGTGTTAAACTCGGCTAATTCTTCCATGCAATATTTCGTAAATTAAATCCCTTAACTAAACCCAGATGTGAGGGAAAGAAAGTAAAAATACATATTGAGTACAACTTATTCACAAAATGATTAATACATTTCAAACGGTATGATTCCTAATAATGCAAACAAAAAGTCTCGCACAGTCATAACAGAACTTATCTTCGGATAGAGAAATTCAGAAAATAGATTCTAAGAGTATATTTCCCATAAGTAGTCGACTGGATTTTCATGATAAAGAATGAAGATAACTCGTATCTAGATATTACAAAATGTTATCAATCGTAAAACAAACTGAACTCGTAAACGGGTAAAGAACGTTTTTTTATGTAAATTTGTTTTTTAATTTTCTTCCTTTCCCATCCTGGTTTCGTGGACTTAAATTACGAAATATTGCATGGAAGAAGGAGGAGTTTTGCACACTACCACAACGCAAATTATAAAATTGTCAAATTATCAAAGTGTCAAATTGATATGAAAGTCCTTGCTGACGAGGCTAAAATTCTGAGCTTTAAACTCACAGCTAATCTTTTTATTGTTCTTGTGCACATGTGGACTGAAAAGTCGTTCCCAGGATATGCTTAAACCGCTAACTGTTAAAGGCATCAAGTTTCGTCTGCCTTCAACTTCATCTGTTTTTAGTGTAAGATTGAGCCGTTGGTGGAAAAAGTTGTTTCGAGAGACAGACTCGACTTCCATTGCCCGGACTTCCAATTTGACGTGGTAAACTTCTCCCTAGCTAGTTTTACAAACGCTACAAACGAACCTCGTGGGAATTACTAACTCAGCCACACGTGTACAACAACAATACAAGAAAAAGTGAATGGGATTTGCTAAATGCCAGATGGATTTCTCTCAAGTTCGCCCATAAAAAAATTTTAATCCAAAATGATTGCAGTCTCTTCTTGATCAAATTTTCCAGAGAGCGCCAAATGTGCTTTTACATGTCCAAAATCGTTTCATCCGGTTGAAGCTTGATTAAAGTTGCCTTGATAACTGCATGAAAAGAATATTAGGTTTTAATTCCTTTGACATCTATTGTGCTTTGGCGCTATGGGCTTAAAGAACAGTATAGCGTCGCGGTTTTTTATGGCCAGCGTTATCGTTCTTGAGCTCATTGTTTTAGGTTTGAAAATATCAATTTATTAACTCCTGTCAGATGTGGGGTTCCATAATTATATTATTTATGTTTTGGTAATGTGTAAAACTCGACTACTTCTTCTACGCAATATTTAGTAATTTGAAGCACTGAACTAAACCAGGACGAGGGAGCAAGAAAATAAAAATACAGAACGAGTCTCGCACAATTATAACAGGTCTTGCCTTCGGATAGAGAGGTTCAGGAGACAGATTCCGAGAGTAGATTGCCAACAACTTGAAAAAGCTGTACCACGCTTCCTTATTAAGTCACGGTTTATTTACTTGATTGAACGATTCTGTTACAAGGCTTCGGTTAACTCCCACGCCCACGAAGCTCTTGCGCAAATAGTCTAGATTTCGTAACAGACCTAAAGGAAGTTATTTCACGGACAAGTCTTGAGCTTTCCTACGTGCTCTCCTCAGAAGTTGTTATTACTTGTCATTTCATGGCTCTCTGTAGCATTATGTAGCACTTGTTGGCAAGGCGACCCCTTGCGGGAAATCTCCTGAATATCCTGGTCAGCTGGAATGCGTTACACTCGAGATTGCACGAAAGATGTAACTGGAAATTTATCGACTCTTGGACTGAGTGCAGATGAAGGTTCTAGAACTGAAATGAAGCTGCTATTGGCCAGAGCCGGTAAATATTTCTCCACAGATTTTTGTGTTTCTAGTTAACTTTATTGTGCTTATGAATGGGTCCTGCAACAGATTTAAGTCGTGTTATATTTTTACAGGTGTTTTCTCAATCGAGCAAAGACATCTTAAAGGCTGATAGTTTCTAAAGAAACTGTTTGGGGCTGCGTAGGTGGGGGTAACGAAATAATTTGAGTATATCAACAAAGTTGAAATGCTAAATTGGCCACCGTTACGATTATAAAAGCGTACGTTTCAAGCGTTAGCCCTTCGTCGGAGCGAATAGGGGAATTGTGGGTTGTGTGTGCTTTTAAAGGCAGAAAAAGGAGCTACGTGATTGGTGGGAACATGGCAACGAGAAAAACACGAATAAATTAGTGGAATGAAAAGCGTTCGTTGATACCTGTGGGATTTAGACTGCCGGTTTGAAAGATGAGCTTTTGTTCAAGAGTTTTCCGGCTTTCCGTGCTACCTAAGTGTAAGGAAAGACCGCAGATTGCCATGTGTTGCTTAGAATGGTTAGGTAAATTAAAATGTCTAGCGACTGGTTTCGATGTGTCCTTGTCATTCCTCTCCACGTCGCAAATGTGTTCTCGGAATCGGTCACCTAGTCTTCTGCCTGTTTCGCCGATGTAAATCTTTTAGCAATAAGTGCAAGTTATGTAATAGATTACATTGGCGGAGGTGCACGTGAAGTGATCGGTGATCTTAATGGATCGTTTGGGTCCCGATATTTTCTCAGTGTTGTGAATGAAAGTACACGTTTTGCATCGTGCACGAGC